GCACTCTCCAAATACGAACGTGGAAATTGCGCGAAAAAACGTGAACGATTTTTAGTTTTGCAAATTGAATAAAAACTTTACCTATCGATCCAGTTTTCTCAAGTTGGGTTCATATTATCAAAAAAGCGTCAATCATAAATTGTTCTAGAAATTCAAAGAGCTTACAGGGCATCTATTTTTTTCTTTGAAATTCAAAAGTTGAGACTTTTTCAAGAAAGTCATTGTTTTTTGATGTTCACTTGCGTTCATTACTCTTTTGCAATCTTCGATTGGCTATGTTTTTTTTTATTCGTAACTAAATTTTTCAGATACCTTGCATTGTAAATTGAAACTTCATTTATGTCCGAATTAAGTCTTGATTGCAAGAACGTTGCTTTATTGGGAGCAGTTATGGCAGCGTCTGGAACGCTTGGGTACTTTGTTGCTATGAAACGATTTTCAAGCTCTGGGCTCATTAACAAAGTTCACCAGAAAACGAAGGCTAAGGTTGTTGATTCTTTCAAAACCAGTGATATGAGCCAGAAAATGGTTTTCTGTCGATGCTGGCAGTCGAAGAAATTCCCGATGTGCGATGGTGCTCACAATGAACATAACAAAGCTACAGGGGACAATGTAGCGCCACTGATAATTGAGAAGGACTGATTAACCCATCAGCTTAACTGAAGCTTGTACTGGAAAAAACTCAGACATTTTATGAGTAATGAGAATTCTTTGTTCTGTTTCCAATCTCTAGAAATTATTTAACACAGCATTTTTGGATTTGCTCATCTTAGATAAAATATTGAAATTAATTGTAGAAACCGAACAGAATTTTCTTATATTTGAACTTTATACTAATAACTTAGAAAAAAATCAATTTACATTCAAACGATATAACCCTGGAAATATAAACTAATTTTGAAAATTTAGCAGCAGCACTTACTGTAAAAAGGATGTTAATTTTTGTTTTTTAAAGAGTGTTGGTGCTCGTTTAGAAGTTTGGCCTCGTCGTTTTTGATGAGCCCCATTCAAAAGCTCGTTTAGAAGTGTGGTCCCGCCGGACCACCTGAAATCTACTTGGAGTATTTCAAGCGGATGAAAACAAAAGGAAACTTGGGAATTTTTCTTCGTTAGATTTGCAACTACAGTTTTAAAAATGAAATTATCAAAAGTATCAATTCACTGGCCAAGATTAGAAATTACTTTACATATCTTTTCTGTCAGACTTGTATATGGGACCATCGGTAGTTATTCAGAACCATGCTTCTAAACGAGGTTTTAAACGGGACCATTGTTGTTAACGAGTACTAGAGTTCGTAGCACTGTGTCGCAAAGGAAAGGTTAAATGACTTAGGTTTGGAACTTGACGAAAAGTAAAGTTTTGTTCGCACCGACGAAAAGTAAATTTTGTTCAAGATGGTGAATCGTTTTCTGGTTTTAATACACGCCAACATTTTCGGCTAGTAAATTTCAAACATGAAGTATTTTTTTTTTGCATTAAAGTTCCTTTTTTTGAGATGCATGGTTTCTGGTTTATTATATAAATATTAACACAGTGAAATTATTTGAAGTTTTAGTTCTTCGGGTGTTTTTAAGGCTTGTGCATTTTAATTTGAAATCAATTCAAGATGATGGTGAAGCGTTTTGTTTCTATGTCAAAAATTTTGACTTGACTCTGATGTCGACGAAAGATTGTGGCGCGTGTCGCACGAGATTTGAGAGTATGGTTTTTTCCGGCTGACATTTTAGGGGAACAAATTCAATTTCGTGTTTTTTTTCGAAACCGGCCTTTCTTTTTTTGTTTTGATCCAGCTCTGTGCCTTGTGTATCGACTTCATAATTGATTAGTTTGATGCTATAGGGTTATTTTTATAGGCTTTCGGAGTTTTTTCAGATTTTCTTCAAATTGTTTTTTGTGGAAATTGTTTGAAACTTTTACGTTCATTTGTGTTTCAAAATGTCGCTTTTCAATTGTTCTTTCATTTCGATTTAAGTTTATAGCAAGCAATGGATGAAGCCTTTTCGTATCCCCAAGTTTTCCTGTAGGACATCCAGTTTGTTTTCTTGGTTGCACAATTTCAAGTATAGTGTTTGAGCTAATTTCAGACTAATTTTGATTTTCTTGACCTAAATCTTCTTTCGTTTTCGAATTCTTTTCTAAATGATTTCTATAGGAAATGTTATGAGATTCTTCTTTAAGCCCACTTTTTTTTAAAGCAGAAATCAATTTTTTTTTTCGTGAGACGCATCATCTTTTGAACTTTTTTCGTATCAGCTTTTTTCGTATCGCAAGTGGCGTGAGGCTCAGCTCGCCTCTGTGTAATTTTTATTACTAAGTACAGATCTGAAATTGAGTGACTTATAGTTTTTCAATTCAATTTTCAGCTGCTGAATTATAATTCTTATAATTCACGTTTTTACCTTTGCGAGAAGCAAGAATATTGCCTCTTGAATAACTTTGTTCACAGGACTCATCTTTACTACTGGTGGTACCATGATTCATCGTGAAATCCATTTTCTTATGAACACTTAGGCTGGAGTTAACGAATACGCCTGGGACGGCAACGGTCCCAGGTTTGAATGTGACCAGGAGCTGTTTTTTTTTCAAACTGGAAATATTCAGTTTCAAACAAAATAGTCGGCCTAACATTTGTCTGCTTTGGTTTTGTCGGCTTAGTTGCCACATCTAAGAATCGATCATTTTTAATAAAACATTTGTTGTATTTTCTTTTAGTGTTTAAACTTTCTCAAAATGATCGATTTGAAATTTAATTTTTACATTTACATACTTTTGCCCACTCAATTTGTTAAAACGTCTTTTTAAAGTTTTTTGTCTTTTTTTCATAGCTTGCATAGAAAAAACTTTTCGCGAATGGATTCGCAGTTCATGAAATAACTTGAAAAATATCGAGCTTTCAGAGCTGGAATAACTTGGTTAGAAAAACTTAAATTTTTCGTGAAATGATTCAGTCTACGAAATAAATCGGAAAATTTTAAAGTTTTTTAGGTTGAATAGCTTGATTAGAACTACTTAAACTTCGCGCAGACCGTTTCAGTTTATGAAGTAATCTGAAATATTTTAAAAGTTTCATCGCTTGATTATTTTGCTTAAGAAAAACCTGTACCTTTTGCGACCCAAATCGCTTTATGCAATAACTTGAAGTATTCCTTAGCTTGAATAGCTTGCTTAAGAGAAACCGAGTTTTTTGTGAACCGATTTGCTTCATGAGACAACTTTAAGTGTCGCTAGCTTGAATAGCTTGCGTAAGAAAATTTCAATTTTTTTGAACTGATTCCTTCTATAAAAACAAATTGAAAAATTTCAAAAACTTGATTGAATAGCTTGCATAGAAAACTTTAGCACTTGCAAAGCGTTTGGCTCTATGAAATAATTTGAAGTTTCGTCGCTTGAATAGCTTCCATTAAAATTTTTTGAAGTTTTCGCAAAAATAATTGCTTTAAACTGGAAATATTCTTCAAACTGGAAATAATCACAAATTAGAGTATTTTCAAGTGTATAGCTCGATTAGTTCCCTCAGAAAAAAATTCTGTGAAACGGTGTGGTCTTACAACCAACTTGAAATATTTCAAAGATTGATCGCTTGAATGGCTTCAATTGAAAATTTTCAACATTTCGCCATCCGGTTTCCTTCATGAAATAACTTGAAATGTTTTAAAGTTTTATTGCTTGAATAGCTTGCGCGGGAACATTTCAACTTCTCGGAAAACGTATAATTTTGTTCTAGAATACAACTTGAAATGTTTTAAAATTCCATCGCTTGATTAGCTTATTATCAAAAATTTGTTTGCCAACCGATTCACTTCATGAAATATTTTGAAATAATCAAAGTTTTGATAGCTTAAATAGTTTGCATAAGAAAAACATTTTTTTTGAACTGATTTTCTCTAAGTCTCATAGGTTGCTAAGAAAAACTTGAAATTTTCGCGATTCGATACCATCTACTAGTTTACTTGAACTAGTTCATAGCTTGAACAGCTTGTTCGAATTTGATTCGGTCTATGAATTTGCATGAAAGTTTGCATTTTTAAGCTCGAATAGCTTGCTTAAAAAAACTTGAATAGCTCGATCAGGACAACTGTCAACATTTTGCGAGTCATTTTTGCGAGCCAACATTTTGCCAGTCATAGTGATTGGGGTTAACGTTCCCAAACGCCCTTTGCTGCATTTGCGGTTGTTTCAATTATTATAGTTGCGTGTCCTTGTCAGCGTTGTAAATCAACTGATGACTATAAGATTGTTCGCTCGTTTGATTTTTCCTCGAGAGCTCCATGTTATTTTTTTCGGATGATTTTATTCATGATTTGTTGACGTTCAGTTCCTTTCCTAATATATTCGGTTTTAGTGTATTGCGTAACTCAGCAATTCGCTCAAAAAATTTAATTATCAAGATTTTGGATGACTTAAAAATAGTATGGGCAGCCATGTGCGTGTGGAGGTAAGGCAAGCGTGCGTCTCTCAGCACGAGGGTTCTGCGTTCGAATCCCATTTTGGTCGCGGTTGGAGCGGTCCCAGTGACATCCGCCTCCACAAATAGTCAGCCAAAAGGGAATCAGATCAAAAAGTCGGATTTTTCTTTGGTGACGCACTGTGAAAGGTTTCTTAAAGCAGTAACGGAAAGTTTTTTTTACCACGAACGATGGGTCTGTAATTGTTTGTTCATAAGACTTATCGCTTGTCTTCTGGACTGCTCGAAATCATCAATTTGCTGTATAATGTAAGCAGTTTAAACAACTGATTCTGCTCATTTAGTGCTCATGTATAACGTCCATGTTTGAGACAAGGATGAATGCTTAGAGTCGGCATGATTCAAAAAATGTTTATACGCTTAAATTTCTGAAGTTCCCTTTAGAACAATCGCAGCCGCTGTATGTTATTTTTTGCGCAAGGACTTAAAAAGGTTTCTATCCCAAGAAGGTTTCCATCCCTTTTGTGTTTTCGTGTCTTTAATACTAAAGCTCTCTGTGAACAGAAGGTGATGCCCAACAATGGTTGTGTCATCTATTCTAGATTGCATCGAGAACTTTTACTCGGCGATCAATTGTTTGCTCAATTTGTCTAAGCTAAAGAGTTAGTTTGATGTTATGCAGTAGATCTCAACTTTGTCGCTTAAGTGTCTTAACTGTAATAAACAATGCGTCGGAGCTACACCTGTTTGTTTCACGAAATCCGTCATGTGGAACGAAAGCAGACTGCCCTGATTGGTCGACAGTTGTCGGAATGCAGAACGACCGAAGTTACACGTCTAAACGAAGTGCTTCACGCCGCACAGGTTGCATACGTTGAAGCTACGAATCAAGGAAGCAAGTCCGGTCGAGGAGTTAATTCAAGTGGGACAACCCAAAAGTTTCCCAAAATCGGATCGGTTCTTTTGAACAACTTAACTGACGATGAGCGTAACGTAGCGCCTCAGTTTGGATGCTCGGTTTGTGGATCAAAGTTACCTCCTAAGGCACTGAGGTGTCTCTTCTGTAATTACAGAGTGTGTACGAAGTGTTTCAACGAAGACTTGTTGGTGTATTCTCCTTCCAGCAAGGAGTTGGCTGCCGGGGATTTCTGGCCGAACCAGTTGAAGAAGATGAAGGAAACCGACGGAGGTCCTGTCAGATGGGCGATTTCTGGGGCAACAGGCTAGTGGTTTTAAATAGCTAGTGCTCAGGAGAGTATGTTTTTGCTCTTTCACACATTTTCTTTCACGACATGAATGAAAAATGAAATATTAGAACGCATGAATGAAAAAAGAACGCATGAATGAAAAAATGATAGTTTCGCGCACTTTTGCGGCATCTTTCCCTCAGAAAGAGCAAAACATGCTCCTCAAAAGTTGGAACATAGTTAAAGATGGCCTCGGGCAAAAGAGCCGCAACCGGGCTTTCCGTGCCCTCAGGCCAGGCTCTTTCCCTCGGGAATCTTCCAACTATTTTCTAACTTATGAAGTTTCTCAGAAATACAATAATTCTCAGGCAATAATATTTTCACGCGGTCTATTTTCGAACAACATAATAATAAATTAGTTTTCAGGAGTAAGGAAACAGACTCGGTTATTATTTACACAACTTTACACAATTTATCACAATAAGAAAACTCTATTTTGGAAGCACACCAAAAAGGAATCATTTTGGTGCTCGTATAAAAGTTTTCCCATACCCCATTGGTAGTTTATAACCTTGTGCAGAAGCCTTCAATTTTATCTCAATGTTACATGTTATGAACAAGGTAAATCGATGGGTAGGGATAGAAATTAGGATACAAATTTCTACAGATTGAACATCACACTCGTTTCTTGCTTAGGATATCCAGAATGGGATCCTGAGTTCTTCGAGTACTTCCCGCTTTGTACATTGTGCAAAATAAAACTAGTGTCTGTAAAACGGGAAGAGTTTAATGATTTCCAACGTCGAAAGTTTTCTCAGGAGTGCGAGAAGTCTTACATATCTTTGGCGAAAGCGAAGCTCAGCGTGACAATGTGCATGGAAGAGCTTAGTAGGGTGTTCAAAAGTCAAAGCGCTTCCAATGGGTCAATTCTGAAACTTCAGGAAGAGAGTGAAACAAAAATAACCTTGTTCAAGAAACTACTTGCTGCTGCTAATGAACTGAATCCGCAGAAACCTTCCCAGAAAGTGTTGGTCAAAAACTTGACAAACGGTAGCCAAGAGTGGTACCGGATGACGAAGGAATCTCTAGACAATCTGCTTCAGGATATCTACAACACGATTCCTCTGAAGTCGCTCACAGAAATGCAGACGGTTGTCGAGAAAATTGCTATTTGCTCTGCGATTACTGTTGTGAAAGAAATCTTTGAAGAAATTATGAAGCTTTGTAAAGACTACCAGCTCTCTTTCTCAATTCTCAACGAAATCTCGTTGGTTGAAAGTCGTATGTGGCATAATTTGAACAATCTTGATGGCCTAGATGCAGAAGAGTTCATTTATCTGAAGCAGAATCTCGAAGCGCATGTTACGACAATGATTGCTCAAGAAAAGTCAGTCAAGTTTGTGGTTTCGATTATGCAGTACGAGAAGGAGGGCAAAAGTTACGTTCTAAGGGTAATTTTTGAAACGGCTGCGCGTCACTTGTCGCGAGTAATGAAAGATCTGACAGCGAAATGTCGCAAACGATTCATCGAGGAAAGTTTGGACGCTATTTCTAATTTGGTGACCTCGCACCATGCTCAAATGTTTGCTAAACTGGCCAAACCAAGAAGTCTTCAATCTTCAGTGTCCACTTCGAGTTTGAGCGTAAATGCGCACAGAGAAAAACTTTCAACAATTTGACAGAAGGCTCACATGGTAGTTTAAAGCAATTAATATCTCTCATTCACGGGACTAGTTTTTTAGCACATCGGTTTTACGTTTTAAAATATTGAGTTTCTTTAAGTGTTCAAATGCGAATTACTTGAAATAAGCATACGACGGCCAAAACAGCTTTAGTAAAAAAAGAAAACACTTTTGTTGCAGCTCACAGTAAAATAGACCCACAACTTGAAATGGTTTCTTTGCACGTTTTTGTGGTTTGATTGCCCGAAATAATTTCCGCAAGTCAGAATGAGATCAAAAAGCAGAATAAGAGTACATAATAATTTTTTTTGCTCGTCACAAATGCATTTGGGCCCCTCCACCTTTTTATCAGTCTTTTTAGCCTACTAGAAGATTTAGCAATGAGTTTTTGAAATAGAATCAATAATTGAAATTGAAATAACAATTTTCATAGGGTTTTTTCGTTCTTTTTATTTCTGATGCGTTATGTATTTCAAATTCAATGACATTTTGTACAAAGATTCGTCAATAATCTTTCCAGGTTCTTATCACTGCCGCCTATTTTGAAATTGGTACGTTATAAGAGTTGATCATGACTTTTCATTTTTGAACAAATTTGATTTTTTTCGGATGAACTTGTTTTGACTTTGTGGCTTTGACCTTGTAAAAGATTCACCCACAAAAATTGCATATAAAGTGAATTGCTCGGTACTTTACTCGGTACCATAGGATTTGTGGCGACTGAATTTTATGTTAAAAACTTTCTCTTCCGTGAGAAACTTGTTAAATGAGGGGTCACGTTTTTTTAAGAATACTAACTTTTTAGTTAGCTTTGAATAAAAATCAATTAAATTATTGCAGTTTTCTGGATCATTTAAAAACTTAATTAGGAATGAAAAGACATTATATAAGAGATAAATCTTTTCTGATTTTATCATAATGCACAAATGATGGACGACAAATGAAGGCTTGATGTTGAGACACATCCGAAATGTTTAAGACAACAAGACATGAGTCTCGGTAAAAGCTAGACTTTAACTTTCGGCAAACTAATATGGTGCTTTTTGCAGTCTGTTGTAGAGCATGGTGCTTTTTGCAGTCTGTTGTAGAGCATGGTGCTTTTTGCAGTCTGTTGTAGAGCAGTTAAAATCATCAAATTGTAGATACAAAACAATCAAAAGATTCCATTGTTTCGACGGCCTCATGATCAAATGAGGCAAAGTTATTTTTGTGAACAGGTAAGTTTTATTAAGATCAAATTATTAGTGTTACATTTTTCCTTGTATTAGTTGTACCGTATTTCATTTTATAACCATTTGGATGAAATTACTAGTCGTTTAATATAGAAGTGGGTATTGGATTTTATTTGTGAAAAAATCTTCAAGTAATTAGAATAGTTTGATGTGAAAAAATCTTCATTCGAAGACTTCGATGTGAATAAAAGTAAAAAGATACATTATTAATTCGCGAGGAAGAGTAATCAGGTTATTTTCATGTAATAATACTAGTTCGAACTCTTCGACGGGCTAACCTAGCACAAGATTTTACTGGCTAACTTGTGGTAGTCTATGAAATATCGAAAAACTCGGTAAAGAAAGAATTAACCTGGTCTGAGGTAGAGAAGTTTGGAGGCTGCGCTAAGCAGTTGTTTTGTGGGCTGATTTTAAGATGCAGCTCATGTCTTGATAGTTGGGTATTGTTAAAGAAAGCAACAGAATGTTTTTTTTGCGAGGGGTAGTTTTTTGTTCAGACAAAGTTCCGGCGATGGAACGGATATTTTTCAAATGGTAACTATTTTTACTCTGAAGATATCGACTACCACATTTAAAGTTTGAGAAGATATTTCTGGCCAATATTGGTTTAGTTTCAGGAGTTTAAAAAATAAAAATTCGGCCAAATTGTCGGACTAGTTCATTCGCGCTTTTAAAACTTTGTAATAGATTATCAACAGCTACAAATTGCATCGAGAGTTTTTTATGACACAAATCGAGACACGAGCTGTCGAGATGTGCATGTATTTCGAGATGCAATATAAGTTGTAGCTTACCTGGTTTAAAACACCTTTGAAAAATATGCATATTTAATCGAAACAGGTGGCACAGAATGTTCTGACTTGTCTTTAAAACGTTTCGTAAAAAAAGAATCTGATGGAATAACTAGAGCTTGGGCATATTCGACATTCATAGTAAATTAAACAAATTGGACAACAGTTTTTCTAAAATGTCTAGAAAAACAAAAAAATCGGAACATTTTTCAACCTGCAGTTTTTTGAAATTTTGAAGTTTTTGATTCCTTAAAGATGCTGAAAAAGTCCTCAACTAACTTTCTTCGAGTAAAGTTCAGTTTTCACGGCTTAAATAACTTTTTGGAGGCTAATAAACTAGTAGAATAATCTATTGTAAGCCTGATCGCTCACTTCATTCGCTCGAATGAGAGCGTCAAACAAAAGCAAAAATTCCAAACCGTTTTTTCGCTTCGTTAAATTTTTAGTAAATTTTTAAAAGTTCGAATCACGAAATTCCGATGATTGTTCGGGGTGTCTGATTTTGCTGAGAACGAAAAACTGAAACACGCGAATACCATTTTCAAATAGTCGGAATTAAAAGTTTCACAACAAATTCGTAGTTTTAATTTTCCTTTTTGATTGTTCAAGTACAGCACGAAAACATACTGAAATCATGTTATATTCAAAAAAATTTTAAAAGGTAAGCGCGAATTATATATGCTAAAGTTTTTTCCAATAAATTTTTATTTCACTTAGCAAAAACATTTGTTCGGCTGACAAGATTTTCTATACACACATCCATGACAAACCGTAAAGATGGGCAATTAGGGTTGGTGTTGAATTTTCAGACTGCCAACTATCTTGAAGTAATTCGACTTCGGCTCTTAAAAACCTGATTAATCATATTTAGGAAGAAATTACCAAAATAAAAAGTAAAAATTTACGTCGGTAATTTTGGGGAATCTAATCTCCGAGCGTTGTTTTTCTCGGTTTTCATCTAAACAAAATCTGTTTTGGATTTTCGACTTGGGGTGACAGTCACGCCCATTGGGATTTCTGATTGAATCAGTTTCATAAGCTCATCGCACTTTTCAGCTGAAGCAAAATTCAGACAACAATTTCATAAATTTTGATTAGAAGGACCGTGCAAAAGATTGATTTGCTAAACTTTCAAGAAGTTATTCTTCAGTCTTAGAATTTTGAAGAGCAAAAACGTCTGAAGGTTAGAGCTCTGAAATTTCAAGAAAATTTTGTTATTGACACTTGTTTCACAAATATAAACAAATATGAGAAAAATGGATTAATTAGAAAAACTTTATTCAGCTGGAAAACCTGTTAATAAAGTTCCTCTTCCGAAATCAAAAATCATTCTTCATGGTTTTTGCCATTTCTGATTTTTAATTATTTTCAATTAAGCAAACAAATATTTTATAGGGACGCAGCGGGGTCGTGCAACATTTGCCCTACAACACAACAGTGGCGATATATGAGATGAAAGCGTCTGCGTCAAAAATGTTTGGAAAATGCCTTAAAAAAATAAAGCAGTATATGATCTTTTTTCTTTCTCGAATGGGTTCACCAGCAAAAATTAAACATTCAAAACTTTTTCTGGGTAGCATCTAATACGAAAATAATTAGTAAACGCCACTTGAGCCGAAAGCCAAGTGTTATAGTAAAAAACAATGAGCTTGATTGTTTTGGTATTTAGTTTGTTAACGCTCCTTCAGTCATGAAACACCAAAAACGGGTGCCGGTCAAAAATCGCTAAATGCTCCGAAAAGATTTGGCAATTTTTTTTGGGAATTTTTAGTTTTGAGCGATTAGAGCAAAAAACATTCCTTCAAAGAATATGCAACAAATATGCCTATGTGCTAGGGAAATAATTAAAAACTATGTATAAAAAATTTGATGACAATGAGAAAAACTTACAAGTTTTTTTTCGAAATCTGAAACTGACGGCTAGGGCTTAATATAATTTAAAACTGAAAACTGTTTCGCACACTCTTCTGACATTACAATACAATCAAGCAGCACTTTGCATGCAAGAAAACTCGCAAAAGTTGATTTATGGCTAAATACTTCAAGTAACGATAGGTACTATGAGGATTAAAGTGTTTGTAATTTTGAGTTTGCTCAATGGCATGCTTCTTTTTTATTATGATGGCGCTAAAGTAATTTTGAAAATATGCCCAGAAAACCAATCACTGGCATTAAATAAATAATAACGAGCCGCAAAAAATAGGTAATTTCAAAATTGCTACCATGAGGAAGTTTTGTAAGATCTGAAAATCTAATTGTGTTTTTGCACCTTCTCTGGAAAGACAAAAAAAATCATATTTTTCCAAACCAAACGAGGTCGATTTTTTTTAAAAAATGTTTAAATATCAGATAAAAACAGAAGCACTAACGAAAAATTTTCTGTAAAAACAAAACTTTCTTACTTCATGAGAAAAATCCATCTTGTGGCCATAAAGCCGACAGCACAAACAGAAAAAAAATAGGTCGAAAATTTTTTCAAACAATGTTTTTTGTCTGAAAAAAAAAACAGTTTGGCGGCACCTTCGAATCTAGGAATTTTGGCGTCACAGCCTCGCTTGCTGTCTCTCGAACAAATGCGTTGGAGAAGCTACGAAGTTTTATTAGGTTATAAACCAATACATTGAATATTTCAACTGACTTGGTTAAACAAGCTGTGGAGTTAAAAAAAACCTTTAATCTTTTCTAGAATTGACAGTCCTTGCTAATTGCAATGCAAGCGTAAAAAACAATTTTGAATATAGCTAAGATGAGCAGGTCTGTTGTTTTGTCGGGATTTGAAGACAGTTAAATCTTTACCCACAAGAATTTTTCAAAGGAAAATTTGTTTGTAGCCGGTTTTAGTGAGCACGCTATTGCAAGTGCAATATAAACTTTCCTAGTTTTCCTGATACCGTTTTCACAGAAAACCAAAACTTTGAAACAGTTGAAAAGTTTGAAAGCTGGAACTTTTTATACTAACACACATTTTTCCATGCTTTCAGCACGCCAATAGCTGAAAACAAACTATTTAAAAAAAAAATTTTTTGAGCTGTTTCTGATCCATTAACAATTTGTGTGTCTTAAATGATTTGCCATTTACGCAACCATACTTACTCCTCATAAAGATCAAAA